GTAAAAGCACAAAATACCTGACCAAAAAACGCTCTACCTCTGGCCTTGGTGTTGACTCAAGCAAATCCGAGAGGCTTCCTTTTCAATCCTTACGTAAGACCGAGCATATATATACTTTTAAACATCTGCTATACCATTTCAGAACTTCTTATTTAACATCAGTACAATGGTCCCTTTGACTTCATTGTTGCTACATTTTTCCATGCCTCTCTCCAGGCTCGAGCAGAATTCAGAGGAGCCCGGCCGGTCACATGAAGGTGAGTCTTTTTTCTACGGAGGACGCAGTAAATCGAGTCGGCGTTTACATTCTTAACATGACTGTCTCTGGGGCTGGGAGATGTTAAAGGGTTACAAAGGACCCGAGGCTGTCCACACGGTACAACAGACGCAGTGTAAATGTGCGGTATGGCGGGATGCCTTTTTTGGGTAAGGATAGCAAAAAAAAAAAAAGAAAAATACACCATAAGAAAAGTATTTATACATTAAGTACTATAGGTGCACTGTATCTGACTTGCATTTTTTCAATTACAGGTGTTTTATAGCTCAAACATACCATACTTTTCGGACTATAAGGCGCACCGGATTATAAGGCGCATTAAGCAAAACAAACAGACGACACTTGAGACTGATCCCTTAGCCCAGGCTTTCACAATCCATTGGCAAATCGTGGCGTAATTCGCCCGGCGTTGCCTCCCTGTCTTGGTGAATGTGTATTATGAATGTGAATGTGGGTGGATAATTTAAATTTGGATTTTTATTTTCTACAAGGAGGACTCAAATATACACTGAGTAATAATGTGTTTAATGCAGCTTTACGCACATTTGTTTACGTTTTACAGAGACGAATCTTAAAACCACATGGCTCATTTGCAAAACTATACTTTACTTAACTTTACTAAACTATAAGCGCTGAAAAAAAAAAACAACAACTCGCTCGCTCTTACTCCGTGAGGCTCCTGACTATAGTAGCCGTAATGCTCCGACAATCCATCAAGCGGTGCGACTTCGTAGCTTACCAAAGTCATACTAAAACATTTTGACAGATTTTTGAGCACCGTGTACCACATAAAATCGGTTCGAGGTCAGTAAACACAACCAGAATTAATACATAAGGCACACTGTTGATTTTTCAAGAAAATTTAAGGATTTTAAGTGCGCCTTATAGTCCGAAAAATACGGTACCTTAAAAATGTGGATTCTTACTATGTGCAGGCTTGCTTCTCCATAGATCTGACCATTAACTTGTCTCCATTTTATTTGATTAGCAAGTTTATTTCCGAACTGTGGAATAAGCAAGTGGCGTACTCTCTACCAGCAAAATTACACAGTGCACCTTTTCGTAAAATCTCTCCATCAGGGCACATAACTTAAAAAAATAAATAAATTTAAAAAGCAAATCAGAAGCGGATCAATACTAAAACTAGTATCGAAACGAGATACTTATTTGAGCACATTAAAAAATCGATACCCAAGATGGAACCAACTGGAATGACTGAGGGATAACAGCTACAAAACCACATGGTAAATAAAAGAAAGTACTACAATGTAACAAAGTTTGCGTCTCAAAATAGCACTTATTTGCCTGGGGTTCAGAAACGCACTTCTCCAGCACATCACAAAGACATGAGTGTGGTCTCCAGACACCAGTGCATGCGCCTGAGTTCAGAAGGACGATTGTCTGATTGGTGGGTTAGACGACCAGAGACACACGGTCTGTCCGTATCAAAACAAATACGGCTGCTAATGAGGAAAAAAAGGAGGGGAAAAAAGGTTCTTAATGATACGTGACCGATGACCTCTTTCATTTCACATGCGTCACTGAAATAAACCAGACCAATAAGCGCTCTGAATAAAAAATGCAGAGATATCAGTCTGGACTTAAGTTGTAAAAAAACATATTCGTCGCGTTTTGAGACTGAAACTTAAATTGTGAGATGTTCATTTGTTCAAAAATACTTCCTGTGAATCGGGACGACTCTCCACAGATCTGAATTAAGGCTGTGCAAGTCGAATTTTGAACGCAATTTCAATTTGTGTGTCTATCGATCTCCAAACTCATACAATAAAGCTGAAATAAACTTTATTTGGGGATATTTTTTATATAAATATGTATATTTATTTTATTTTTAAATATAGAGATTGTAGAACAGCTGGATATATAGTTTATTTTGGAAGTAAATTGCTGAATAAATGAATTGTGTAAATAAAAAATAATCGTTTTATTGGCCAAAGTAATCATTTTTTCCATAATCGAGCAGCCCTAATCTAAATTGTAATAGTGCTGTATCCTGCTTGTGTCTAACAGTAAGCTGATCTGTCACGAGGAATATTCCAGATAAATCAATAATAATTCCATGGAGACCAGAAAGTAGTGACCCCTCTCTCAGCAAAGTTATGGAGTACATCTTTCAAGTGCCTATGACAGGTTAGACCAGTCATTTTACTAAAACACAGTTAAGATCATAATAATTACAATTTTGATCATTTCTTTTACATTTTTCACACAATTTTGGCAATCTTTAGGTTCAAATTTTTACTTCATGGTTTGACATCACTCTATTTAATAAATACAAATTCAAGAAAACAACTTTATTTTGTTGAAATGATGTTTTAAAAAAGAGTAAAGAGACAGAATTCTCCCTGGTGTGCTGTCACCAGTGTTTTCGAACTCTCTGATATTGGATTGGCATAAACTATTTATAGTAGTTAATAGTTACAATCCCACCAAGTCAGGCCAAAATTAGAGGATAAAAACCTGGCATATGCACTTTCAATGTTGTAGCATTTTGAAGTAAATAAAACTATTTATTGGCCTGAAAGCTGCTGAGTTACCGCTGGGGATTTTGCATGTATGAGCTGAGAGCCAGTCCGTAAATGAGCGTTATTATCCAGAGCTGCTTCTGGCAAATGTAATTACAAAAGTCCATTAGCACAGCTGACTGCATCCAAATGATGTTTATTTGATTAATCAAAATAGGGATCCATACCAAAGATTAGATTAGCCGGCTAACTTTATCTTATGGTAATATGTTTTCAATACGGTGGCTCACGTTACTCTATAGGCAGACGGTTACGAAGCCTGACCCTACACAGGAAACAACGCAGCTCCAATGTTTCTCATTTGGGAAGTGAAATTTAGTAAATAGATAATAAATAAACAATATGCATGTCACGAGTCAATATATCACGATATATCCTGATACTAAAACAAAGGAGGATATATTGTGATTACAATATACGATATTGTGATTTATCAATAATTACATACAATATTATGGTCGAGGACACATTCCCAAGAACAACAAAATTACAATTTACAGTAGTAAGAAGTAGTAATAGAATTTTAAAAACGGACTTAAAAAAAAAATGTTTTCGAAAGCATTTTGAATTGATACAAGAATTGCACAATGAAGTATCACGATATATCACTTAATCGATTTTTTTTACACCCCTAGTAAATAGCACAACATGGTAATTTGGTTAAAGGTGCATTGTGTAGCTTTTCTGGTGGAGAATTATTTCCATCATAATCCCAAAAATTCAAGTAAAAAACATGTTTCTTCATGTTGTCTGCACTGAAATGAATCATGGGATGATGTTTATAAGCTGTTACTACTATAAAAACATGCATTTAAGCAAAGAAATGTGTAATTCGATATATTGTGACAGCCCACGATATTATTGTGAGTCTTTTGACGATATGATATCACAATTTTTCGGTTATTGTTACATCCCTAGGTAGTAGTACTTTCTTTTATATTACCATGTGGTCTCATATCTGTGTAATCCCTCAGTGGTTCATGGGCGTATACTAGTCTATGTGCTCTTACACTTGTTCTGATACAGCTCAAAATCATTCTAAAGCTATTCAGGAAAGTTAATTTCTGTCCTGTGAATGTGAATTTTTAATATCAATACTTGCTCAAATGAGTACCTACTTTCAGTACCAGTTTTAGTATCAATTAGTATCTGATTTTCACTCTGGGTCGACTAAGGTTATCACAACTCCAAGGGGAACGCTGAAAACTACAGCCTGCTGCTCGTATTGACAGAGTAGTTTTTGCTCCGTCATGTTGTCATGTTATGAAAGAAAACAGTAATAACTCAAAATGACCTATATATAAACTTAAAATTAGGTTGTACATTGTTAATTAAGCTTCTATAAATAGGCAATGTCCTTCATTTGACAAGGCAAAGAAAAGCTAGGATAGTTTTTAATGCTCCTGTTCCATTCAAAGCATTGTGAAACATAATCCAAGGCTAAAAAACAACTGCAGCCACCGCTTACTGCGCATTTTAACAAACTGTCTAGTCAGATATGGCCTATAATAGCCGCTGCTACCTCATGACAAGGATGTAAAGGAGGATGCTACGAGGAGGACCTAAGCACCGGGTCTGCCCTAACCACGCCTACCGCAGTGCAGATCAAAAACAGCCGAGAATGTCGTCCAGCCCACGGGTTCATATGGCTCGTCTAACCCGCTACAAAACGCCAGCATAAACAAAGCCAGTGAATCATCTCTTTTCTTCCGCTATCAGACAATACAACGGGTTTAGGGTTACAACGAATCTTTAATACGCGTTCTGACAAATCACCATTCTGGGACAGTGAAAAGGGTGCCCGCTTAGTTTAGCCTACTCAAACCGGTTCGCTTCTATGGAAATCCAAGCTGGAAAAACGCGATCGCATCTTGGCAGTCCATTCAGCGACAAAACAACAACACTGAACCCCCCGAATTCCGCGACAACGCACGATTACGCACGACCGCACCAAAGAGACGAGTTGTTGCCTTCTCCTAACCGCGTCGCCTTTAGCACTTTTCGCTCCACTTGGATACAGCAGAGGTCTGTTTTAATGTTAATTGTCAGTCATTGGCCGCTGGCGATGTGGTTAGTTGAATAACAAGACGTGCGCGCGTAAAACAGACACGACGTAGATGGAACCGACGCGTAATTGCAAGTGATAGTGAAATAAAATGGCATAAAAACGTGTTAAATACCCTGAGAGTCGTCGCTGTGGTGGAGGTGGGATTCCTGACAGCGGTGATCAGCTCCTCTGCTGCAGTAGTTCCCCTCTCCGTGCTAACCCCTCAGCCTATCACGCTATGCTCCTCCGTGCGTCCGAGGAGAGGAGAATTGTGGGAGATCTGCACAGCCGGGCTATTATTTTAGCAGAAGCAGTAGCAGCAGCAGCAGCAGCAGCAGCAGAGGCTCAAGCAGGCAGAATCCAGCAGTCTCCTCCCCTCCCCATCAGACCGTCCCACACACGCACAGACAGCGGTGCAATTCAAGACACGAGGTTAGAAACTGGAGACAAATCAAATGTTTGCGCACGGCTAATGCTAAAGAAAACTGCTAAGTGAATGGACAATGTACTGGCATTGCTCAAGACAGAAACCACAGTGAAAAACTACTAGAAGTGGGGAGAATAGCCCGGCATTGTACTAAAGTAAGAGTAACATGACTTAAAATGTTATTACTCAAGTAGACGTGCGAAGTAGTGGTCCAAAGAAACCACTCAAGTAAGAATAAAAAAATATTAAACTCTTGTGGTTTCCTAAACTTTTTTTCTGGGGACCTGTATTTTAAAAGCAACAAAACTTTGTGACCCAAGTCAATAGAGATTGTTCGGAAATCACAAAATCAAGCTGAATTTGACCATTATTGAACATTAATGAGGGTATTTTATTGTTGACTGAGTGATTGTGTCTCTAGGAACAATTAGTATTACTCAAGTTTTAAACAATGAAATTGAACCAGCAATAAAAGGATCCATAAGTCACCTATTTCTACGTAGTATATTGCAGACCTACATACAGATCGTGACAAGTTGACCCCAAAAAATTTTTTCTCTTGCGACCCACCTGAGCGTCGCGACCCAGTCTTTTGGGAAACAATGTTGTAGAGTAAGTGAAAGCATAACTATCGAGATGTATAATCTGATTTATAATTCAGATAAAACATTAAATAATGCACACAATCTGTTATTTTCAAAAGATAGACACAAAAATGCGAAAAAAAAAATAAACACAAATATTCAAATTATTTCATATTGTCAACATAACATTTTGTCACTTTCCACTTGACGTACTCACAATGGGAAGCGTAACCACAACTTTTACTTAAGAGTACTGTTACTTCCATAAAAATATTACTCAAGGAGTCGTAAAAGTATGCTGCTAGAAAAGTACAACTTCTTAATAAAAAAGGTTACTCAAGTAAATGTAACTGAGTACTACCCACTAGGGGTGTAACGATATCCAAGTCTCACAATACGATATTGTCACGCTTTGACTAGACTTAATCCAAAGAACTAAGACTTAAAAGTGCTTACAACTGTTATTTCTTCACGTAGTCTACACCGAAATGCAGCAAAGGATCATGGTCTGTGTAGTTCTCTCTGTCTTTTTTTAGCTATTGCTGCACCATAACTCTTAATTTAAGCAAAGAGACTTGACATTCGATATATTGTGATGGTCCATGATGTTATTGTGAGAATTTTGACGATACGATATCACGATACTTTGGTTATGGTTACATCCCTACTACCCACCTCTGAAACCTACTGTGAAACTATCTTAAAGTAGCATGTAATGTCTTCTTTCATCTTTCCTACTTTTTCCAGATAGCAGAAGATTACAGATCTACCCACAAAATGCAATTATGAGCTTGAGCGTGTAAAGTAACATCATTCATCTTTAGTTCAGATACAAAGCATAAACCTGCCTTATAAATGATGGCCAGTGATGGGAAGAATACTTTAGTTACAGAATACGCAAACCACAATTAAAATGTATTTTGTGATGTATTCTGTGACAGGGTCCAATCAGAGTACTGTATTCTGAATACTCTGAATACTTTTACGACGAGCTGCGCGTGTATAGTGTAAAAATAACATGACATATAATTACAAACAGCTTTATTTTTGTTCCACTGTTTGTTCTGCAGTAATTCATGTCTAATTAGAGACCAAAAAAATGGCACATGCCCCCACTGCACGAGCTGTTTTCTTTCTTCTTGCATTATAATACTACGCAGTTCAAAGCCAAAATTGCAGATGAAGTACCTCCAAGTATTCCTTTTAATTTAAAAAAAAAGCAACTCTGAATACCACCAAATAAAAGAGCAACTGTATCAGAATAAAAGTACTCAAAATTAGTATTCAGAATTCCTATTTTTGGTACATGTATTCAGTTACTTTCCAACACTGGTGATCACTTACAAAGGTGACTCGATGGAACATAGAGTAGGCTTTATACAAGATCAATGTGTATCTTATTTGTAGTTTAATTTTTAATTTAATTCAAAAGTGTAATTTAATAGAGCTGGCCCATATGACAAATACTGACTAATAGATCACAATTTTCAATTTATTTAATATGGCCTTATTCAAATCAAACTAAACAGGCTATTTAAAACAAAACAAAAAAAGTCAAATTTCCTTCTCCATATTCTGAATTCTGCTACAAACCACATCCTTTTACTGACACAGGATTGACTGCGAACTAGGTTTGTCAAAAGTCAAAAGTCAGATACTAATTAATACTAAAACTAGTATCAAAACTAGATACTCATTTGGGCAAATATCGATACTAAAAAGTCACATTCACGGGAACCTTTCCTGAATAGGCTTTAGAATGATCTTGAACAAGGGACCTACCTGAACCACTGAGGGATTACACAGATCTAAGACCACATGGGAATAAAAAGAAAGTACTATTATTTAATGTTCTGTTACATTCTATTGTCTTAATATATATATATATATATATATATATATATATATATATATATATATATATATATATATATATATATATATATATATATATATATATTTCTTTTTATTATCACTGTGGGTGGTATCAGAATCTGTATTGAGTATTGAGTCTATTCCTTAGTTTCGAAATCAAGTTGGAAATTTTAATATTTTAATCCCGATTAAAATCCCGATTAAAAAGAAGCTGATCATTAACATTTAGAAAAACTGTCCTAGTTGCAAATAGCCCTATAAATTACTGCAATACTTTATTAAGCTTCAACTTGAACATAGATGGACATAACAAAAACTACTTCATAAACAACTTTAATCCAGTTGTGTCTGGGTCAGAAAAGGGAACAAGAAGTAGAACTGCTGTATCACGGGTTTTAAATGCATGCTTTAAATTTGCGTAAACGTAGCTGTGTTTGCTGGTTTGTTAGTTTCAATATTACACTTCCTTGATTTCATGTTTATATAGTTTCACTTCAAAAAATACTGAAACTAGATACACTTTTGTACAAGTGTAAATTCAAAAGCGTATACTGTATCAGAATTATTATAAGACATCATGGTGACAGCGATGATTTTGTTTTATATTCATTAATTCCACTTTTTAAACTGTTTAGTTGTCCAAGGAAGCTGTCAAAAGTACAGAAAATCTAGCCTGATTCATCAGCCGCTTTCACTTTGTGGAAACCGTCTGACCTCGCAGCATTAGGATTCATTCGCTAGACGGTAGGCCGGTACTTTTTTATTTAACCAATCGCTGCTATTTGGTCGTAACGTGTGTAATGCATCAAATCCCGTAGGAAGAAGGGCAATAACGTGTTTCCCCTTGATAAAATTCACCAAACGTTCTCTTTATTCCGGGTTTAAATCCTCAATTTCGGGAATAGTTGCCGACACAGAATGTATGGCTTCGTCTACATCCATCACATCTTTGTTTGGACCCAGACAGGCGCTTGAGTTTGAAGTCATGGCTTCACAGCTCTTCGCTGATTGACCGGTGTGCAGTCTACAACTTCCAGGGTTCTTACAAACTGTCTAGTGTATTCCGATTCCTGATCTAGTCACTGAAGAGAAATGAAATTGAGCGGAAGCACTAGGTGGTGCCAGCCTGGCTACCGAAAATCAGATTAATCGATAAAACTAGTATCGAAACTAGATACTCATTTAAGCAGGTATCGATACTAAAAAAGTTCACATTCACAGGACAGAAATGAACCTTTCCTGAATAAAGAATAAGAGCTCATAGACTAGTATACGCACATGGACCACTATGGAACCTACCTGGACGAGTGAGGGATTACACAGATATAAAACTACATGATAATAAAATAGTAATAGAAAAGTATGACGATTTAAAGTTGAAAATCACACTATATCATAAAAATAAACAGTGTTATATATATAATAGTGGTATCAAGCATCGAGTCTCTTCCTGAGTATTAAAATCAAGTTTGAAATTTTTGTATTTGGGAAACTCTAATTGATATGTGGATACTGGTTTATAAATCTGAAAATGATCACTGTTGTTAAAAGTACATTGTGTAACTTTTCTGATGGAGGGTTTATCAAATGCTTTTCTCCAGGGAGATGTTATTGCTTTGTCTAGGAATGTTTCACAGTATGGCATTAAACCTTTCTATCTTCATCGAGACCAAACCAGACCAAGTTACAGATTAGATCTGTGGAGAGGCGACCCCGCTCACAGTCAGAATACCTGTTTTTCTTGGTGTTTTTGAGCTATAAAACCACCTGTAATTTAATCAATGTACAGTAGAGTTGTTTAAAGTCATACTGTGGAACATTCCAGGCAGAGCAATGACATATCTGTAGAAACAAGAAGGTGACGGACCCTCCTAACAAAAAGTTAAACAATGCACCATTAAGACTACATACCGTAATAATTTTGATGAATGATGAAACGCTACAAAAAACTCTCAGAAATGTATACAGCATGTTACACTACTTCCATATGTTCCCTCAACTTCTTTCAAAAAACCTCCTACAGAAATGTCATGCTTCTTATATGAAAAACCTCCTTCAAACACACTAGATCATGAGCCCACCGAGCCCACGCTGCGTATATGCTGTGTGATATATCGGACACATGTGGAGAGAGCAGCGCAGACCTAGACTTTTTAATCAGAGCTCCGCTGGTTTGGGTTGGATTTGTGGTCGTGAGTCCGGCCCCCCAGTGGGAACTTGACCCCCTCTCTCTCAGCCACCCCACTCATTTCACATAATTGCTTTCATGCACAAGTGGACTACAGCCTGCCAATAGACTTCATGAACTACAGTTAAAGCGGTATAGTGTAACAAAGCAGAGAACAAAGAAGCAGCGTTAAGTGGATCTAATTATAAATAGGTTGCGTTCACATTATGTCATGTCTGAATTTTATGACAGAATTTGCCCTTTGTTTGTCAATAACGCAGATATTTCATCCTAGTACATGAACTCAGA